AAAACAACTGTCCCCAGATACCTTAAGCCTGAGATTTTTGAAACACTTGAAAATGATATTGCGGAATTTTCATCAAAAGGTCATATTGTTTTAATGGGAGATTTTAATGAGCGAACAGGACAAGAAGATGATATTGCACGCAACAAAGGAAATTAATCTTTCATACAAACTAATTTTGATATTGAAGTTTTAGCGATACCCAAAAGGAATAATTTTGATTCTGTTGTAAACTCTCATGGAAGACATTTATTAGAAATCTTTAAAGGCTGATTTACACAGTACGATTTGTTGCGTACGACTTGTAGTATACGATTTTCCTACTACAAGTCGAAGGATTTTTTAGCAGTAGTTCAAAATCCTACTACAAGTCGTAGGTTGCGTACGACTGTTGTAGACAAGTCTTAGGGGCATTTACACTGCGCGATTCAAGTCGTATACTACAAATCGCACGAGACAATCGTGCCGTGTAAATCAGCCTCAAGTCGTTTAATTTGAGAATTTTGAATGGAAGAATAAGTGGAGACTCCCTGGGTCGTCCAACATATCATGGAAAAAAAATGGTCAAAGCACAGTAGACTACATAATAATTGATCAAGATCTTTTTGGCGACATAAAATGTTTTTTGGCTGACAAACAATCTTTTTTGTCTGACCACAGTCCTGTTTACACCAAGTTTCAAGTAACTTCAAATGCGCATAATAGCGGTAATTTTCTACAGAGTGTTCTTTTAACARTCTTCAAAAAATGCCTCCTCAATTCATATGGACACAGGAATCATTCGAAACATATAATAGAGCGTTTTCTTCTCCTGAAATGAATCATTTGATTAAGGATATAGTCTGAAAATGTCATAGAATGATAATTGCGGTTAATTTTGTAAATACAATTTATATAACAGCAACTAAAAACACTTTGAAACTAAAGATAACTAAAAAGAGGAAAAGAACAAGACCCTTGACCGAAAAGAAATGGTTTGATTGTGATTGCAGGAAAGTTCGAAAAGAATTGCGCAAATTATCCAATCAAAAACACTCAGTCAAAAACATCCTTCCAACTCAAATTTGAGACATACATATCTCAAAAAGTTAAAAGAATTCAAAAGTTTACTTAAATCTAAAAGWCCAAATTTTGCAAGCCGAAAAAAYAATCGAACTTGAAAACAATCCTGATAGCAGTAACTTTTGGAAAATTTTAAAATCTTCAAATGAAAATATAAAAGACGACACAMTTCCACCAATCAGCGAGCTGCAGTGGATTAAACAGAMTCTTCATTCTGGAATCCTTTCTAATTCCCCTAACCATGCATCAGCAATTAGTTAAGAATTTATSTACTCTACAAAATAAATCTCTTAATACTAATAATGATCTTTTAAAACTGTTCTATAACCATAAAAGAAATTCAAAAATGCACAAAAATGTTAAAAAATAAATATAGGATAGGATAGGATAGGATCTATAGGATCTACAGCATCTATAGGGTCTATAGGATCTATAGCATCTATAGGATCTACAGTATCTAAAGCATCTATAGGATCTATAAGGTCTATAGGGTCTATAGGATCTAAAGCATCTATAGGGTCCATAGGATCTATAGGATCTACAGTATCTAAAGCATCTATAGGGTCTAT